CAGTCTTCTTTGGGGTCTATTGGGGGTTTATTTACTTGTTTTCGGTTTTTGTATCGGTTTACTTTGTTCCACACTTCTTTGATTGGTGTATTTTGATTTAGATTTTGGCAATAATTAATCCAGCTTTTTTTCTTAGCTTCTTTGAATGTTTTTTTAGCTACTGCATCAAGTCTTTTATATTCAGTTAGATTATTAAGATTTGGAGCATGTGTGTAGGTTAAGTAAGCTTGTTTTCTTGCTTTAGCAGCTATGTTACAAGTTTCATTCCACCAGTCTTTGAAATGGACGAGATGGAAAATTAATCGAGATACAAGTATACTCAAAGTTTATTGTAGTTGGAATTGAGACTTCTTGGTATATTAAGTCTGATTTTAATAAAATGGCTGAGCCGCCGTACCCGTCGTCCCGGTCACAGCGAATATTGTTGAAGCCTTTAAAATTATAATATTTTTCTGCTTTAAACCATGTTTCCGATAGAAGTGCAATGGAGTAGTTGCCCGTGTCTAGTAGATATTCTAAGTTAGTTTTATTAGAAACTGCCGAACGGCAGTTCCATTGAAGAATATTTATTGCATGGTTGAGGTCTGAGAATGTGATGACGTGTTTCCATTTATAGTTAATTTGACTAAGTTTTCGAGTTCTTCCTTATTTATATTTATACTTTTTGTTACTAAAACTTTTGTGACAATTTCTATAACTAATTCTAATATTGAATTTATCATGCTCAGGTCTGGAGGAGATGCAACTGAATTATTATTAATATTTCCTTTATAGTTAATACTGTCTAATATTCCTCCCGTAGGTAATTGAGATCTAGGGGAAGCTAATAATTTCATTACGCAAAATTAATGTTGGATCTGGACTATTTGGTCTCTGTCTTTTAAATGTTCTAGAATTTGTACTATTTGAATTGTTGTAAAATATGTTATTTGTTGACATTTGGTTAATTGGATTTGATGGGAGGTGAGTGGGTGTATAATTATTGGGATTTAATGGAGGGAAAGTTTTGAGGCAGGAAATGTTAGTAGTTTGTTCCATATTAGAGGTTGTTGCTTTTGCATAGGAGTTTCTGGGGAACTGTCTGTTGGCGTCTTGATAACTAATATTACTAGAAGACATAGCGTCTTTTACAAGTTTTTGACGTTGAAATTCCTGACACGCGCTCAAATTTGTAGTAAAAATGATTCCCCGAACAATTTAAGCATTTTGGAGTTATATCGGTTGTTTTACACTCTTTTGAGTTGTGTGATTCCTGACATTTATCGCACCTAGCCCTGCTCTTACACTGTCCCCCTGTATGTCCAAATCTAAGACAATTAAAGCATAATATCACCTTTTGTTTGTATGGCTCGACTTTATTTAGTACCTTGTTGATTGTTACATATTTTGGTAGTACCTGTGACCTAAAACTAACTACACATGTTTTTGTTGGAATATATTGAGTACCGTTTTCATCTACTGGCCTCCTATTTAATCTTTTGACTTGAATGACTTCAAATTTACAGTGTAAATCGTACATTTTGATTCTATCTTTAACATACTCTACTGAAAATTCTGTGGAAATATCTCTTATTACGCCCTGTCTAACTACAAGAAACTTAGGAATGTATATGTCTAAATTATTTTTTGTAAATATTGCTTCATTTTTTTTAGATATTATATAGTTGGCCGATTTATAATCTTTAAATTTTATGCGTATTTTATTTCTGCCTACTGCGTCGATGCTAACAATTTTTTCATCGACTTCTTTAAAATTTGAGATAATAATGTCACCTATCCTTAGGGCGTTTAATCTGCCTTTAAAATCGGGTGAATTATTTTCCAAATATACGTAATGAGGTCCCAAGTCGTTTTGTCGGTAAAGAAATTCCTCCCTTTTTATTCCTACTTCTTTGTTTATAGTATTTGTTATTGAAGTTTGTACATTAGCAAAGTCGTTATCGATAATGGGTATATTATTAACATGTTTTTTGGTACTTATCTGTATAACCGGAACCAGATTTTTAAATCCTAACAGCTCCTCCTTTGAAGATGATGCATTTTCTGTGTCCATTTGGGTTTCTAAAACATTGTTATCGGAGGCATCGCCTCCGCTAACTGCACTCATAAGTTTTTAATGTCTTTCCGAATTTCGCTTTTTGTGTAGTGTAATTAATTTACTTTTAAAGTTCACGAAATATTTATTTATATATCTAATTTATAAACACCGGTTTTAAAAACAAGCTTCTTTCTTACGCACGTCTAACTACCACGACGAATGAAAGCTGACTGTGTGGGGCAGTTAAAAAAGAAAGAAGAACAACAAATACATATGACGGAAATAAGAATGCTCAGATGGATCAGTGGAGTGTCGAAAAAAAGTTAAAGTTAAGAATGAGTATATTAGGGGAGGTCTAGGGGTGACACCAATTGGTGCCAAAATGAGAGAGATTAGTTTAAGATGGTTTGGTCATGTTCAAAGTTAAGACGGTTAACACCCAATATGAAGAATTGCTGATCTGCGGGTTCCTGGGATGAGGAGAGGAAGATCAAAGAAGACCTAAAGGGCGACATTTAAACAGGGCATGTCAGTATGGCCCAATATAGAAACTTATGGAGAAATGTAATTAGGGAAGTCGACCCCGCATAGAGAGAGAGTCAAAGAAAATGATTATGACGACTGCAATCTTTCCGAATTCAGTCAAATGCATTAATTTTGTAAAGTTTTGAACACCTGTTATATGTACATATTACAGAAAATATTATTTTTCTACTTCTGACATTTCGTCAAAACAAATTTTAAGTCTGTTTACATTTAACAATATTTAGCCGTAACCTAATATCGGCTGACTAATTCATGTATTATTGGGTCATAGATTATCACAAAAAAAAGACAAAAAATAGCAAAAATATAAAATACTACATACTTTATAGATGAACTATATTATCACCACGGCCTCTCATTCCCAATGGAATGTTTGCCGCTCTTCCTTAATTCGCTTATTGCTGGGATTTATTCTGCATTTTTTGTGCATCCTCAAATGTTGTTGTATAAATTGGCTGACATTACAATTTTCTTCCACTCATTTCAATTTGTACATGTTGACTCCAGTTTCTTACTTCCACGATGTTGATATATCTCATGACCTGGTCCCCCTATCTCCCTCTAGGTTTTCTCCTTTGTATTTCAGTTTCTGGCTTCAATGTGGTGACCTTCTTAATCAGTAGGTCGTTTTTCCTTATATCTTAGTGACTCAGCCATCTCTGCGCTTTAATAAATATAAGTATATCTTTTCCCTTTATTATGTCTCTAATCTCATGGTTCATTTTTCTTCTCATTTCTCCATTTTCCATTCTTATCGGGCCCATAATTCTTCTTCAGCTTTATCTGTGAGTTACATTGTCTTAGCTGCGTATATAACGAATGGTCTCATTGTAACTCTATATATTTTCAGTTTTATATTCTTCACTTCTCTTGTTTTTATCATTCACAACTACTCTCAAATATTTAAACTGTTAAACTGATTCAAAAGTGTTATCTGGATTTCTCTTGTCTTCTACCTTCTCTATAATGCTATAAAAATGCAAGATCGTCCGGTCTATTAAAATTAATAGACTAAGGTGGCTAGGACACCTTAAAAGAATGGACACTGGAGACCTCCAAAGACAGATATTATATCAAGAGCCAGTAGGAACCAGGAAGAGAGGCAGGCCAATATCTAGATTTAAAACTGAAGTCGAAGATGATTTGAGGAATCTAGGAGTCAGAATCTTGACTGTTTTACGCATTTATGGTAAACTGGTATGCAGTTTATGCACAACGTCGGATCACTTTCGTTGTTATCACCAAAATGAAGGTATTTAAAAATAACCAGAAACCTATCACGAGACATAACATTTGACACCTACAAATGACACCATTTGTAGGTGTCAGCCGATTTCTCCCAATACATTCTCGATTTGAAAGTTTCACATATCCAGAAAGCAATAAAATATCCAAAAATTTATAGAACTCTTCAGGGGCAATTGTAAAAGATTCATTTCCATTTTTGTACTTCGCATATTTTTGGGACTCTTCGCAAATTTGTTGAGCAAATTCCAATGGCCAGAAAAGCTTAAAAAAACAATTGGGCGACTTCCTGACTCGATCATATCATTTATGATTTGAGGTCGATTTTGAAGTTTATTTTTTGTTTTTAAATTAGAATCCTCTGGCAACTCTTCTACAAAATGCAAGGGTTTCCACGAACGTGTTGTTTTTTCGACTTTCAATTTTGTATGCTTAGCTATTTTCTTTGCTGATCATGTTCTCATTTCTGAAGTTGAGGGTTCCAAATTTAATTCCATCCTTTCACGGTCGTGTGTAATTATTTCCACCTGAGAGCACTCTGCTAGTAGACCAGGGCCCAATAAATTCACGCTATTAGTATTCACCAAATTTTCTTCCTCTGGAACTTCATCGATATCCGTGTCTCCGTCGTTTTCAGGGGGAAACAATGTAATGTTTATTAATTGTGCGCCGGCAAGTTCATCGTCACTATCGGACTCTTTCAGACACGCTATTAGCTCTTCGGTAGTAAGTACTAATGGTCATAAAATCCTAACGTATGAATTCTCATACGCTTAATTTTTGAATACACTCAGTAACACAAAGTAATTCTATACCACTAAATATAAACAGTAGTGTAATATAACCTCTAAATGAAAAAATAAACAAAGAATCTGACTAAAAACATAACAACTTATCAATATTTTTGTATAAAGACTTACCTCCTCTCCCACTTTTGACCGAATTTAGTTGTCACGTCATTTTGATTTGATTTAGAAGCCATATTTTTAACTAAATAGACCAATTAACCGGTAAAATGTAAACACCACACGTTGTTTAATTGATATTTGACACAATAAAAAGAAACTAGGAGAGGAACTATATATTATTGTTGATTATATTAATTTTAAATTAATTCTTTTAAAAATGTTAACATAAATTTTCATACTACACTAACTCGTTTCTATTTCAGAGTGTACCTATGCAAACAATGGCAAGAACTGAAAGTATTTAACGATCACACTGCTACTGCTACCGGAGTTCGATTCGGTAAACATGCCAGATTTATTGCCTCGACTTCCATGGACAGGACGTTAAAATTGTATGGATTAGATTAAAATAATTCAATAATAAATATCTTATAAATATGAACTTAACCTCATTATATTTGAGCGTTCTTATGGTTTTGGGTTTTTTTCAAAGAACAAAAATTTCGAAACATCAAAATTTCTGCGTAGAAATGTTTCCTACGTATCAGATACTATCATTAGTCGCTGTACAGTCAAGATTTGCAACTAAAAATTAAACAAATTTGGTGCTATTGCATATTTTTTTCTTAACCTTAGCTTTTGTAGTGCAAAAGTTAATGTGTAATTTTTAACACAGGAAATCAAAAGTTATGTCCTAAATCGAAATTTTAAGAAACAGCAATACAGAAAATTGAAGAATTGCTTAGTAGTAAAAAGTTCATATTTTTAGGTTTTTATTATTGTTTAACTATAACTTTAGTTTAGGGTGTCTTTTATTATAAAGATCAAAAATGTTTTTATGGATTCCAATCTGTTTTATATAGAATAAGCAATTTATAAATGTGTCAATAAAAAATTACTTAAAAATTATTGTTATTGTGTTGATTCGTGTAAAAGTATATTAATCAAACTAATATTTTATTATTAACATTAGCAAGCAGCATATATTATCCACTGTTATGCTATCTAGTGTATTTCTAGACATATAAATTGCCGGCATTCTAAGAGGTGAAGATAAACTATTTAAATATCATTTGATTGAATGTTTTACTTTTTTTATTTATTTATTTTTTTAATAAGGTTTTCTCAGGATATCGCAATAGCCAGATATTTGAAGAGTTTTTCGTTAATATATATTATACCTATAGTAAGCAAATCTATATGTTTTCTGCAAATTTCGACCTGGTTTTTACATATTATGAACTAGTGCAAAAAATATGATTTTTTAAAATTTTTGCTTACTATTAAAAATATTTATACTTAATATACTTACTATTTATACTTAAATATAAACATTTTTGTTTACATATACATATAAAAATAATTGTTTATAACTTCTGTAAAAATCAACTGACACTTTTGTGATTGCTGTTAAAGGAAGATTTTTAGTGCTTAACAAACCTTCAAGTGTTCCTATGCTTTTTGGATTACCAAAAAGCGTGTCGTGTCCAACACCACAAGTTAATGCAGATCCTCAAGAAGGTTGATATAGATCAAAAATACATAAAATACATTGAAAACTTGTACTGGCATCAAACGGCACAGTTAAAAATTGACAATTCTATATCCAAACCCATACATATAAGAAGGGGCGTTCGACAGGGATGTGTGCTTTCCCCTCTTTTATTTAACATTTATTCGGAAGCCATATTTCAAGAGTCTTTGGAGAATGCAAAGATGGGAATCAAAGTGAATGGAGTATTGATCAACAACATACGATATGCTGATGATGGTATCTTAATTTGTGACAACATAGTCGATCTTCAACAACTTGTCACTATAATCGAAGAATACAGTAAGCGAATAGGATTAGAGATTAATACCAAAAAAACCAAATTTATGATCATCTCCAGAAACTTGGATGCACTTGAAAACTCCACCATAACACTGAATACTAAGTCCATTGAAAGAGTGAGTAAATTTAAATACCTGGGATCGTTGCTTTTTGAAGACTGGGCATCGGACAGGGAAGTAAAATGTCGCATTGAGCAAGCTCGACAAGCTTTCGTAAAATTCAAGAAGGTACTGACTTGTTCAGGGTTCGATCTTCAACTGAGACTAAGGTTTACTAAGTGCTACGTGTGGTCAGTGCTGCTATATGGCGTAGGGGGCTGGACACTCAAAACGAGGGATATAAACAGATTAGAAGCTTTCGAAATGTGGCTCTATCGCCGTATTCTAAAAATACCATGGACAGCGAAAATCACAAATATAGATGTCCTTAAAAGAATAAACCAAGAACGCCAACTTTTCGAAACCATCAAGAAAAGGAAAACGGCGTATGTAGGTCACATCATGCGAAATGAAAAATACCAGTTTCTCCAACTTATAAAAGGGATAATTATCCCTCCAGAAACTGACAGAGAATGTAGCGTAGAAGTAATTTTAAACTGTTTGTCCTCGTTTTAGTGTAGTGTTTTGTATAATTTATGTTAGTTTTAATGTTTCCACATCCTACGCTTGCCGGATAGTTCTTATTTTGACGAAATGCCCCTGAAGATGCTATTTAAGCGAAAGTACTTGGGCTAGATTTAATTAACTTGTGCTCGATAATAGCCTTATTTTCAAAGTTCATTTATTCGAGCATTCAACCTCAGTTCATTTATTATCTAAATTGTTTATCCCAGAGGTCATTTTTGTGTAATAACAGGACATAAAATAATAAAGATACGGTAATTATACGGGTACCGTATTAAAGGTGAAGACTTTTACTTTTAATGTAAGTACACAAAAAAATATTTTTATAACCAAAAATCGTTTTGCCAAATTTAGTGTTTTTTTAAACTTAATAAACAAGACAATTAGGTAAGAAGTGGTGATTTTTTTAATTCACAACTATCTATCTACATAAGGATTTTTTCTGCAGCTGTCGCCACCTTCCTTCTTTCAGCCAACGTCTCCAGTCCTTTCTGTTCTGCCATTCTCCATCTATAAGGTCTCGTCTTTCTATAGCCTCGTCCACTTCATCCCTCCATGATCTTCGGGGTCTACCTCTTTTCCTCCTTCCTATTGGGCTCCAATCCGAAATCTTTGCTATCCACCTTGTATCAGCTGTTCTTCTCACATGTCTATACCAAATTAAACGTTTTTTTTTTTTCGATGTAGCTGACTATGTCTTGGTCTACTGCCATTCTTCGTTTTGTCTCCTCATTTCTGATGCGATCTATTTTTGTCACTCTGCATCTTCTCATGAACTCCATTTCAGTTGCTGTGATTTTGGACCTGTTTCGTTTATTTATTACCCAAGTCTCTACTCCATAGGTCATTATACTGCGTACCAAGGTGTTATAAATTCTCTCCTTTGTATTTCTGGTAATCTGTCTATCCCACAGTACCCCGTTCATTTGTTTAATACATGTTCTTGTCTGTGCTAATCTGCTGGTTATCTCTTGCTCGGTGGTTCCATTTTTTGAGAGTATGAATCCTAAATATTTAAATTTTTCAGTGTCGGTAATTTCCCTATCATCGTCCATTTCCAAGTGTCTCACTGGTTCTTGCTCTGTTGTTAAATATTCGGTCTTTTCTAAGTTTATTTCCAGTCCATTTTTTGTGTATTCTTTTTCTAATTTTCGGAGCATATAGCACAGATCTTCTTCATCTTGAGCCGTTGCCACTTGGTCATCTTCAATGCTTAATGTGTACAAGAAGTTGTCCCGCATTGGTATTCCCATCCCTTCACATTTCTTTTTCCATGGTTTTAACATTTGTTCGAGGAATATCTTAAACAGTGTCGGAGATGTAGAGCATCCCTGCAATAAGCCTTTTGTGGTCGTAAATTCGTTGGAGCATTCTTACCTTTTCGTTGTTGTAAAGGTTTTTTAAGGCTTCTATTAACCTCTGAGTTATTCCAATTTCCTTCATCGTGTTCCATAATTCTTCTCTGAGAACCGTGTCATATGCCTTTTTTAAATGTATGAATGCTTGTGTACTGATCTATTCTTTGCCATTTTTTTTTTCAATTAATTGTTGGAGTGTATATATGTGGTCTATGCAAGGTCTTCCTGTCGTGAAACCCGCCTGATCTTCTCCGATTTTATTTGAGATAGATTTTTCCAGTTTTTCTTTCAGTATTTTTCCATATAACCTATAATTCACAACTAATTTGTTTATAATGCAATTAGAATAAATTTTGAACTTTTACTCGTAGACGAAATATTTTTTCGTATTGGAAAATTTACAATTTACTGAGACTTTACAACAACAAAAAATCTAAGACGAGTAGGTAAAAACTAGGGATTTTTTTAATTCGCTGCTAATTTGTTTATAATATTTAAGAATAGACAGATTCGAATGTAGTTATAAGGATCGAATTATTTTGTAATGCCCCTTTGTTCGATTCTTCTCGATCGACGATGGTAAATACAATAAAATGTTGAAGTTGTGGAGTAAAAATTATGGTTTTATTGACAGCTACTAATAATTTCACTCTAGTTGTTGGTTAGGTAACTTTCTATAATAGACTGCGCTCAAATGAGCTCAAATCCACAATTTATAATTTCACAAATAGTGTATACCTCAGCACAGAGGTTAATGCTTCTATCATACTAACAAACTTTGAACTATGTATGAGCTTACAATACAATTTAGGCCGTAATTGCAACTCTTAGGAAGTTCAATTGGAAAATATATTATTCAGTAATTTATAAAGTTGCATGTAAATGACTAATAATGCATGTACAAATTTTAATAGAGATTAAACTTAAATACCATTGTCTTTGAGTGGTAGAAATGAGGCTGAAATGATGATTAGTCGGACTGTGTATGGGGGGAAACTAAAAATTTAAGCATTCAAAAAATGAAAAAGAACTTCAAAATACTGTAATTTTGATATATTTTTTTAATTTGTATGTATTTTTGCGTACATTACAAATATGCGTTTTTATAATCTATAATAATGAATCGCCGAAATGTTTGTACGCGCTTAACTTCATAACGACTGTACCAAATTAAGATAATTCTTTTTTTATTGTGTTTGTTAGTATCAGGACAATGTTTGTGTAGAAATTAATTTCCAAAAATTGTACGGAAAGACATAAAAAAATTTTTTTGTTTCCGTTATTTTAAATCGCAAAGTAACTAATAGATGGCGCCATACTATTATTAACAAAAGAAGCTATGATCACAGAATACTAATCACAACGGGTTTAGTTAGTATTCTGTGCTATGATTAACAAAATAAATGTCAGTATTGATAGATTAAAATTAAGACACAGCTGTATTTGGTATTACGGCTCCAAATAATAACGATGAAGTTTTAACATACAGATGGGATGATATGTCAATCAGGCGGTTTGGAGAATTTCTTCATTTTCCGTACAAAAACGTCATCCCACTGTAGTTAATTTATCTGTTCAACTGGTGAATAGACAACGTCTTTATTTCACGCGAGAACGCGCAAATCAAAGAGCTGAACGACCACCAACGACAAAGTTGAAAAGTTTTTTAAACGGGAGACTCGACAACATGTATATTGTTCGATAAGTCAGAAAATGTTTATTAAAATGGAGTAAAATAGAATAAAATAAACCAGAATTAAATAAAATTAATATAAAATAAATTACAATAAAATTAAATAAAGTAGAATAAATTGGAGTAAGGTAGAATTCATGGACGTTTATACGTCCATGGTAGAATTAAATTGAGTAAAATTAAATAAGATTACAATAAAATTACAGATTCTGTCTCCGGCTGCTATATAACATGTAGCTTCTCCATTTTTTTTAAATTTTAAAGTGTTTGTCTTTGTGTATTGTATTGTTATGTCCAAATTTACATGTATGACGTTCTGCTCATGTCGGATAGGCCACAACTGACGAAATGCCCCTGAGGATGATCTATTGATCGAAAGTACTTGGGCAAGATTTAATTAATTACTGTGTTCGATATTTGCCTTGTATACCATCAAAGTTTAATGGTGAATTGTTTGCAACATCTCGAGAAGCTTGTCAACGTTTGTATTTCTGGAGTTTGTTCACTAAGGGCGGATGTTACATTTTTGGCTAATTTTACTTTTTTGTGGCTTTCGTACCTTGAAAATGAGATTATTCAAAGAACCATAACCCGATGTCCAAATCTCAACCGTTACAATTATAGAGTTTTGGTTACAGTTACAGTAAAGAGGTTTAAAATGCTAAATGCTTTCAAACGATGGGAAACAGCAGCTAAACTTCTACAAGTGAAGGTACGTTTCAGTTTATTCAATTTTTTCTACAAATCATGTACCTATGTGATCTGAAAATAAAAGTAATTTAATGTCTTAAAAACAGGATTTGTCAACCATAAAATATGCTTTAGTACAATAATGTGAATTACACACTTTAAAAATATTCTTAATTATACAGTGTGCGTCAAAAAATGCATAATGAACCAAACATTAATTTTTGTGCTATTTCGTACTATTTTTAGACTATTAAATTTCTAGCATGTTTATGACAATTTTTGTTGTTAGAAAGTTCCAGTTTAATACCTTCGATTGACCTATCTCACATTTTTGACACAGCATGCGTAATGTAAAATATTTTTAAGATATGTGGAAAATATGCTACAATATTATAACATCGACAAATCTTATCTTAAAGGCACTAAATATGTTGTTTAACCTTAACTGTGTTTTTAGGTAAGGCTTTTGGAGAGACTACTAGTTCGAACAGGATTGTACAGTGTGATTCATAAAATGAACTATGTTCTTCTGGTAGTGAGGCGGATCTTAACTATTCTCTCAGTAGAGAAGCTAAAAGTTTTGTGAATGACAGAAAACAAAGCAATTCGTAAATTATTCAACCGTGACACTCTCCTTCTTCCTTACTCCTTGGTGATCGCGTACTGACAAACTTCAAAGGCCGTATCTGAGAGTGAGCATTCTGATATTGTTATTTATTTTGTGACTGTGCCACAGAATAAATAACACAAACACGATGCCAAAAACAACAAATTAATGTACTAGTTCAAATAACAAAAAATTCATAAAATAAATAACTATCAGAATTCCCACTCTCAGATGCTGCCTTTGATTGAAGTTTGTCAGTACGCGATCGTCATATTTTAAACGGAAACATAGACTCGAATTAAGAAAGTTGTGACAAGCTACGACAGAACTGTAATTTGAATTTGTAGAGATTAATAATTTAGTACATTTAAAAAAATTTAATCTATTCTTTAACTAAAAGTACAAATAAAATAGTGTATATTATGTCTATAGTTGACGTAAATAAATTAAACCTGGTTAATTTTTCTATGTACACAAGATAAAATGCAATGACGTATAATATATACGTCATTGATAAAATGTCACTGAACAGCACTGGTTCTGTTTAAAACATGGCTGATTCCGTCTGTGCGAACGAGATGCGCGTACTTATTTTTTCAAGCAGTGGGCATTCTGATTGCTTATTATTCTGTGAAATAGTTATTTAACCAGCGTTTTTCAGGATTCATTTTATATCTAAATTAATTTCCGTATATTTTTTATAGCACAAGATTTATTTTAAAATTTTAAATTAAAAAAAAATGGATGAAAATTGAGATAGATTGTCGATTATTGCAAACAGTAAACTTTTTAATAAATCAATATTTTATAATTTGTTTAGATTTTAAATTCTGTTTAAAAATGTTTACAATAAAAACAAAAATACCTATATTTTGATAACTTTTTTTCTTGGCATACAAAACGATATTCAAATAGGAAATATATTCAGTAGATATTGGTAAAACTGCGGCTTGACATCGACAGATGACAAGTCATCTAACGCCCCCTTTCTCAGTCTACCGAAAAAGTGTTGAAAATTCACAAAACACAGGTCAGTTTTTGGCGAAGTCGACAAAGCTTTTAAAAAATTTGTAAGTTATTTCTCTTTAATTAAAATAATTAAGATTCTTTTTGCACGTATAAAGAGTAAAAATTTTCATATCAGGTGTGTAACGACGTGTTTACAAACGAGTAAAAACGACGATATCGGCGATTACCACCGGACTCGGGTCTATAATGGCAGCCAGCGATTCTGCAGGCGATGATTCTTTGTATCCCATTGCTGTTTTAATCGACGAACTCAAAAATGAAGATGTGCAGGTATGTATTCATTTTTAAAAAGCCATTTCATATATACCCGTGAGAATCTAACAATTTGTGCTAAAAAAACATAAGCTCCTGTTAACCCTTTCTTGTTTAAAGTGACATCATTCTTGTCAGATCTTCCTGGATTGAAAATATAACATAAAATTATTTATAGACCAGCTTATAAATTGAATCAAGGAAGTATATAGTAATAGGATTGGATTATAAAGGGTATTAAATAAATAATGTTTTATTTGATTTGAAGTCTGTTTTATGATTCATTTTGTGAATCAGATAATCTTCAGTTAAGTTTATTGTTTTAATTATAGACCAAAAACATTATCAATTTTTATATCTAATTAACCTAACAATAATAACATTTTAATGATAAAAAGTACAATATTACATTTTTATTTTAATTACATTTTTTTACTTTTTTGAGCCATTTTGTTTTTCTTTTTATGATATAATTATTGTTTTACTATATTAAAATTAGCATACAAGCGAAGTAAATAAGTTTAAATATTGTAAGTTTAACATTTGAAATATTTAGAACAATACCTAAATGATTAGCTTTCCTTTTATAATCAAATTCTTGTATCTATTCTCTATCACTATCCTTTCATTCCAGTTAAAGTTTTTCTTAAGTTCCTTATTTGTTTGTCCTATTTAAATATTCTGTCTTCCTTTGGCTCTGGGGTGCATCACCACATCCATAGAAATTTAATGCAAACAATTGTTCCATCTAAAAAAATCAGAAAAAACTTAATTTGTTCCATTAATTTTAAGTCCATGAAAAATGTTAGTACCTCATCTTACTCAAAATTCATATCAAATATACTATATATCCATTATATTCTCAATTTCTTTAAATTCAATAGTTTAATATTGGTGATTATATACATTTATAAGGTGATCATTTGCAGCTTAAAATGTTTCCTTTTCTTTTGCTTTCTGCTTCAAATCAAGATCTCTTAAGTTTCTAACCTGTGTGACTGTTAATTATGTTGTGGGTTGTTGCCTCTTTTCAGACTTCAACCAGCTTATTTGAAGTTCCTTAACATCTAAACCATTTGACATTCATTTTCTCTTCACTACAACTTCTTTTAAAGCTACATTTCTTTATTAATTTCTTTAAAATAGTTTAGATGTTATGATACAAATTTTATTCCTATTGTCATGTATGACTTCAGTTATTTGAAACATTGAGGTATCCTATACCACTGACAAGTTATCCTATATACTGTGCTACTATATACTTCCAGTGTTAGCACATATTACTAAATTAACATTAGAATTCCAAACAATTAATTCAAGAAAACAAATACAATTAAATTAATAATTAAAAAAATATATTGATAGCATACTATATAAAGAATAAAAACAAATATTTAGGCATTTAGAGCTTACATCTTTTCAATACAAATAAAGAACAAATATTTGATTATCTTTTTAGATAATTAATAGAATAAACAAATAATAAGAGATTATTTAAATAAGATCCTTTAAATATATATTATTGAAATAATGATATACATAACATGTAATGGTAGTAATATCAACTAATAATGAACTTGATAGAGAAATGCACAACATAAATTCAGCATATTTCTACATCTCTCTTGTTATACAAATCACTGTTTCCTATCCTCGATGCTCAATATCATTAAGATACATTGCATCACATCTAATCTTAAATATCCACCTTATGTCTTTAAAACATATAACCCATATTAACACTCAGTATAATAAAATCTCTAGAGTAATTTAAGAAATTTGACTCTGTGGCCCTATGTTCCATACCTTATTGCAGCACACATAGCTCCTAAAGTAAAGACCATGAATAAAGACCAGTTTCCAATTTAATTCTGATAACTTTATTACTAGTGGACCAAGTAAGCCAAGATATCTATTACAATATCTTTATTTATAACATTTTACTGGTCTATTGTGTCAATCAGGACTGCTCAACAAGTTTAATTTAAAAAAAATTGGTTTAATTTCTTGTGATGTGTAATGTAGGTTTACCAATAATCAAAGTAATGCTTTTACAAGAACATATTAATATTAAAAAAATAAGGTTCCATCTACATAAATACAATTGTAAAATAATTCATGCTATTTAAAAACTGTTATGTTAAAATGATCTTAGTGGGAATTACATAGTAGGTAAATTATCAATCAGCATCTTATTTATTTATCAATGGGCAATAGCCCAATTAAAAAAACAATGTAAACATTGATAAATTACAATTGATTCGTAATGTAACCTACCTAAATTAAATTTAAAAAATTTAAATCATACAGAAAAATAAAAGTTGGAACAGTAAATAACAAACATTAACAAAGAATGTACAAAACACAAGGACATCAAGCTATCACATATACTTCTTAAGTTGAGCTTTAATTCTTTTGGAATACTATAACAGTCCAACCTTTGGGAATAATGATTAGCAAACCTTGGTGTTCTAGATTTGAGTGAATTGAGTCTGTAGTTTGTGCAATGCGGTCTAACATAAAATATTTAAAGATTTAGCCTTATTTTTCTACTGGGAACATGGGAATTTTTCCAATAGTTGAGGACCAAAAATAATAGAGCACAGTATACTATAAAACATAGTGAGATCCTTGTGCATGTGTCGGATTTGGATAGAAGTTATGTTGACAGGCCTTTCCATATTTAAATGCTAATTTCTTCAATCCTCTGGTTTTGTTTAAATGCAACAAATCTTAAGAATTTTTGTTGAACTCTCTTAATAGATCGAATATGGGTGTTATAGTGAGGAGACCAAACACATGAACAGTAATCTAGGTGGGGTCTTACAAGTGAACAATACAAAATTTTTATGGATGGGATATTTAGAAAGTCTTTAGGACAACATTTGATAAATCCTAAAAGTTAAAGTGATTTTGAGACAACAAATGAGATATGGGGGATGTAGGATAAACTAGACTCAAGCACACCACCTAGGTCTTTTGTCTAAGATAGGGTCTAAAGGGCAACCATTGATAGTATAGATATGATTTGTAGGAGTTTTATTCTAATCAAAAATTCCATTGCAGTCACACCAATATCTCAACTGATCCAAATCAGACTGTAGTTTTTAATAGTCATCATCATTCTCAATTTTCAAATATAATTTTAAATCATCAGCAAACATTAGGAAAGAAGCAAAGAGGAAACAGGAGGCAATCTCATTAACATAGTAATTGAATAGAAGAGGTCCTAGGTGTGATCCTTGTAGTACTCCTGAAAGTATGTTAATCTCAAACTATTGAAAACCCTGAGTAGAGTAAATTTTTATTTGCATAAATTTTTAAACATAATTGAGCAAATAACGTCACATTATTAGTTACACATTAAAATATATATTGACATCACATATTTAAAATATTACAAATTAAATATGCTGATCAAGGAGAATGATAGGCCAGGCACTCTGCTACAGTATACGGCTCAATGTCAACTAGGTGTTGAAAAACCTTTCTTTTAAAAGCTCTATAATGTGTTTACTGTTGAACGTCAGATGGTAGGCTATTATAAAATTTAACACAGGCATACAAAGGACTTCTCTCTGTTATAGACAATCTGTGAAGTGGCAAATTCAAATTAAGGCTTCTTGTATTATATTCATGATTGAGAAGCAGGTGATAAAACAAAGAAAAATTTTTAAAAAGGAACATAATACATTCAAATATATAGATGGCTGAGAAAGTGAGTAAATTGAGTGATTTTAATCGGCCTCTACAGCATTCTCCTGCCTTTAGTCTTAAGATCACCAGACTGCTGGCTTTTTTGGACTATAAAGACAGTTGAGCTATCTACTGCAGCACTCCAGAAGATTACTCCATATCACATAACAGAATAAAAGTTTGCATAATACACTGATAGTAAAATCCCCTGGTCTAGATAGCTCTTTAACACTCTTAATGAGTAGCAGGCTCTATTCAGTTTTTTTTGTTGTATTTTGTATTTGTTCCCCCCAATTCAGATTCTGGTCAATATGAATACCAAGAAATTTAACTGATCTAGCAGATCCGTTGTTTTGTGATAGAAAATTAATTGTATCTGGAAACTGTCCTAGTGACTGGCTGGTTCTAAAGTAGACAAAAACGTCTTATCAGTATTAAGCAACAACTGATTTTCACTGAACCACTGTTCAGCTTTGCTTAGAATTTGCTCTGCCACTGTGAGGAGTGCTTCTAAATTTTTTCCCAGAAAAGCACATTTGAGTCATCAGCGAAATTTACAAGGTTTCAGGAACTACTAACCACCGCATTTGGAAGGTCGTTTATGTAGACTAAAAAGAGAAAAGGCCCCAGGACACTCTCCTGTGGTATACCTAATTTTAAATTGATCAGTTCAGAGTAAACCTTACATTCCCTTTTCTCCAGGCATACCTTTTGCGTACACCTTCTTGCCTAAACACATACTATTATTTATATTCTGTCAGTTAGGTAGGATAACAACCATTCTAAAAGTTCACCCTGGATATCCAGAGTCCTCAACTTTTGTGATTTACCCAGTCAAAAGCCTTTGTAAAGTCTGTATACAGCATGAACCTGGAAGCCATCTTCAAGAAATTCTGTAAGGAAATCAGTAAATGTCAATAAATTAAGTTCAGTGGAGCGGCTAGAGAGAAATACAAATTGCTGGTCCATAAAACAGCCTTTTAAAGGCTTGTTCACTTGAGAATTATCTCCATAAGTATTGGGGTAATAAAGCTAGTTTTCCAGTATACCGGGAATGTCCCTGTCTTTAATGACAGGTTAAAAATGTGAAAAAAAGGTCTAGAAAGTAAAAAAGCTAAAGTGTTTTTCATATATAGACAAAATAGAAATGCTAAATTGTGATAGGTTGATGTCTCCTGTTAAAAAGGTTTCATCCTAAGAACATTGACACAGAAATATTATTATAATGCATAACAGAAAGAATTTTATTCCCGTTTTTTTTTACTGTTAACAAATTTCCAGAAATTTTTAACATTATCTTTCAGAAAGGCTTCAGTAGAGCA